ATTGATTTTACCGAGATGCAAAGGTAAGGAAGGAGGTTCTTCTTTCACCTTAACCTCTTTTTTCTACTTCATTTTCAAATACGACTGTTTTAAGTTGGCGAATAGGTTGAAATCCGTCACTTAACGGTAAGGTTTCTTATACCCCCTTCCCCCACCCCCCCCCCCATGTTGATTTTGGCCGTTTTAGGTGATTTTTCACTGCATATAATGTGACAATATTGGCCAATATTGTCACACATCGTATCTCAGTGAGATCTTCAGGCTCGGAGACCACTGAGACCACTGTCGCACAAAATGCCAATATTTTTAATGATTCAAGTGCTCCAACAGTAAAGAAAACGAGTCTGCCACTCCAAAACTATGGCTACAGTATTTCTGGGTAAGTCTGACTTTTAAATATGTGGGCAAAATCCTATGGTATAACCTTGGCAGAGCTTTTGCATATTATTTAGTAACTAAATCTTAGAAGCTTTCGAAAAACAATCTGAATTCTATATTAAGTTTTTACTATGATCACCGTTAAGAGTGAAAGGGTATTGACTTCACATGGAAGATCGACTTATTACCTGAGCAAGTTATTAACTGGCGCGCCGATATTCTCAATCAAGTATTCTTTCATCGTATCTATTATTGTCTTGCCTGTCCGTTTTTGCCATTCCTCTGTCATTTTTTGTGTCATGTCTTTATAGAAAGACGGCTTCAAAATCTCCTCCACAAAGGTTTCTTTCAAGACCCCTGTGAAAAGATAATGTAAAAAGATTTCCAACCTTTTTTTAAAAGAAATAGCTGTTACTAATTGTTGACTATTCATTGATAATTAACTGAAGACGTTTATACACACATAGGCCAATAAGATGCTAAAACAGTTCATTATCTTTACTGTAATATTTACTTATTTAGTGACTATTTCAGTGTAAACTCATTTTACCCAATCCTCGTGGGGTAAATTTTTTGGATAACTCTGGCTTGAGATGTAATGAGGAAGTTACAGAAAAAAAAGGATCCAGCGAAAGCAATTTCCTTCAGAAAAATCGTATTAAGGCCTCGTTTTCCTCCTCTCAATTCATGATATGTATGCTACCTAATTTATACCTCTTTTTTATATAACAAAGCCCCTCTCTCGGCCAAGCTGTTGTGTGTCACTTTTCTTATTGTCCTACACTTGGCTGGAGGGTTTGCTGTCTCATACCTTCTTTACTTGTGGCAATATGGCTGAATCGACTCTTCATCACGTCCAGTCCCGCTCGACACTCTTCTATCGAGCCAACCATACCGGATTTGACTCCTAGTCTAACATTATCGATATATTGAATGATCGATTTCTTGTACGCCTCCAGGATTTCGCGAATGGTGTCCATATCGCTTGCATTTTTAGGCGCAAATGACGCCAGGTGACCAGACATCTCTTGGCCAATATAGCAGATCGGATGCCAGCAGAAGAAATTTGGGCCTAACATCCAATCGGCGTTGTAGTAATTCGCGCCATAGGGAAGCCCGAAGACATGCCGAAGGTATAACTTAGCCTGGGATATAGCCTTTCTCTCCCTAGGCTTTAATTTAGCCAAGTCGATGTCAGTGTCGTTTATTTTCGCTAGCAATCGCCAAGCTTCGTCGGTTCTTCGTTTAATTTCGGAGGGGGTCGGGTCATAAGGTTTGCAATTTTGGCGAATCTCTTCTTTGGTAACTTGTGGCTTGTAAATCAACATATTTGGATTTAGTTCGAAAGCCTTAGCTTGCACTGAGTCAAGAAGATTATACAAAGAGACCCTCATAGCTTCTTTTGATGGTGCACAACCGTTAACAGCTTTCATATTTTTCTCTTCCCTTTTTTGTGGATTTGGCGTTGTTTTCACATCGCATTCTTTCCTTTCCTTTGCCAACGAAAGAAGAACTATCCCAGTAATCAAGCATATAACACCGAGAAGGACGATAATTCCAACGATTAATCGCTGGCTGTTGCAACACCTCCGACCTTCTATGTCAACATCTCTAATCGAGTCATCTGGTATTGCTGTGGTAGACGGATTGTTGAAGAAACTGTCAAGCTCTGTGCTGTCTGCAGAGAAGGCAGTCACCGTTGATTTATCCCCCATTTTACCAGCAGATGCTAAAAAACTGAAAAACGCGAGCCGTTTAAAGACCTCAAATGCGGCCGCTCTCCTGTCGTTGGTGATTAAATGAGGTACTCAAATATTCAAGCTAGTTAGTGATCGCGTAAATTGGGTTTATGCATAACCCCCTTCGACGAAATCCTTTCGTCTGAAGATTTTTTTTTTGTTTTTGCAGCGTTGGATGATAATTGTTTTGATAGTTTCCAAGTTCTCAGAATAGGAAACAAAAGTAAATAGCCTTTGGAGAAAAATTACAATTTTTATTCGTTTGTTTTAATCAAGTGTTTGTGATTGAAGACAAAGCTTCATTATATTACAAATTATATTGTGTCCCGTCAGAACGTTAAGAGCCCAGCAGGTGCATCATGATCATCTTCATAACCTGATTCACGTAACCTTTTCCATTGTTTCCTTTTTCGTTAAAGAATTGGAAATACTTAATGAAACAGTAAAAGAAACGGCAGATCTAGTTGTAAACAAAAACAAGGCTTTATTTAAACCTTTAACTCACACAAATGAGAATTAATAAAAGCTATTTTAGAGCGACTTTGCGACAAAATAACATTACATAACTTTCTGTAAACACAAAAAAGCTTGACAAAAAATTGACAATGATTTCCCTGAGGAATAAATGTTTTTATTGCCATTATTTTTTGCAACAAAATAGAGTTCAATGAATGCGGACTGAAAGACTGAACTTTGATGCCTATCATTTTATGTTTGATAAAAATCAATAAACTGTATGTGCATTAAATGTAAATAAATGTTTGCTTTCGAAAAGAATTATCCACATAAAGAGGACAAACGTATTTTCTTTACACTTATATTTGTAAAAGTTTCCATTATTTTGGGACGAGTTTAGAAATCGGTACGCTCTTTAACTTAGCAGGGATTTTGTTGATTGTCATCCCAGCCAGTTCGATTATATCGAGTGGATTTTCGAACAATTGTCACCGAATGAATTCACCTGCTGGTCTAGAATATCGTGCTGGCTTCTTCGCAGGGTGGTTCGGAAACTTCAATGACTTCTAATCAACACTTAAGATAAGCTAGAATGTTTATGGAAACTGACAAATTACCGTGTGTGTGCATTACTGCATTTTCGAAGTATAAAACTGTAGTCAAATGTTTGCAACTATATTTTCTCTCTTATTAGGAAACGGAAAGTATGGCCCAGTTGATAAACATATCTCTCAAACAAAGCTCAACTACGGAAGTAGTTTTTACCTAAATCAAACAACAAATCATAAATGTTATAACGCTTAAATATTCACGCTTCAACACAACCACGCCACCCACCCAAGTCATCACATTTTGCATTTCGATACAGTATAGGGCCACTATAAAATCATAACTGTCACAAATTCATGAGTACGAATTTTGACTCGATCGGTTTGGCCTCGTTTCAGTGAAGAAAGTTATATGAATTTACGCTTGTTTTATTTGGTCAAGAAAAACTGATATATATCCTTTGTCGATATCTCATCATGTCAATGTAATTCATTTTCAAATAAATGGTGCAAAACCCAGTGATATCAGATCCAGAGTTAAACATCCCCTCAAAAGCCAGGTACTATTTCATATTAAAGGAAAGGGGAAAACAGAAACTGAAAAATCTTCATGCAAGCCAAGAAGACTGAAAAAATGAGCGTGCTAACCCAGTCCATGGAAACACTCTTAATTCTTACGTAGTGTGTGTTCCTTTTCCAGTCGAACAAACTAAATAATCCGGTATCCTTTGGCAAAACTGAGAAATCCGTCCAATCATGCATCCTGTGATAATCCAACTCAAAGACCTTAGACAGATTGAAAACGCAGAACGATGTTTGTGATACGGGGGTTACTCCAGAGGCGCGGCAGTGACTCTCACAACCAAAAAAGTACTATGTTACATACTTTATTTCTGAATGACTTGGTCTTTCACTTCACAATTCTTCTACTTCCTTAGCAAAGTCCTTCCTCAAGTTAACCTTCTTCTTGGTAGTTCTCTTGCTTTGCCTTGCTCTTTTTCTATAACTGCTTACTCCTTCTTCTAAAAGCTTACTTTTCAACAGCTCTCTATTTATTTGTTTGGTTGTCCGTAATATGTTTACGTTAATAATAATGCGTAGGATACATTTACGTTCTAATTAGCATACGATTAATTCGTAACCTAAAATTTCTTTGAAAAGCTTTTCTTCAGTTCTGGAGCAGGATAACCACTAAGGAAAAACAACTAAGTAACGTTCAGTAAAAGAAACACACTTTTGCACAGTTACTTTTAAGTTGTTTGGACCTTTTAAAGGTAAAACTCAAAGATACAAGCTTCGTTAATGGTAAACAAAGGACAACTCCCATATTCATAAATGTGGAAACGAGATAAATAGATGGGACAAAACTTTCTACCTTTAATTAATGAATACCTAAAAACGGAAAACTTTGTCAACATAAACTAGCCTTAAAACTCAAGTTTCCTTCGTAAATTACTAAAAGTGTCCATTAAAAGATAAGTGTTTTCCGAGGGACATGAAGTCAGGAGACATGATGTCCCATTCTCAAAAGCCTTAATTATTTACTCACGAACACACGAAATGAGAAAGTCTTAACTTAGTTACAGTCCTAAAGTCATGGAATGCAGATAACCCCTGGTTAGTAACCAACTAAAGAACGACGCACATGTTTTGATTCCCTGCGTGATGCAGGGAAGTACACTTTTTAATATTTATTATTCTAAATAAAGAGTTCATTAGCAAATGTGTTTTATATCTTTTTTCATATTTATAATGAACAGTTAAAATGTTCCAGAACCTAAAAAGCTTCCTACAACGATATATGTCAATATTCATTTCAACTTGATCAGATAAAATTTGTCAGTAATCAATCAAGATCACTTTTCATGCTTCACCTTTT